AGTAACCACAGGTCCCATACTTTTCCCACCACTTATCTAATGATACCTCCCCTGTTTTCCAGCATTTGGCAATTTCTACAAAGGCTACTGTATTGAAGAAATCTATGAGTTTGTGTCTACATATATTGATAACAAAAGCATTTCTAGACATAATTTGACTTCATGATTGGTAATCAATGACATTTGTTCAAGTACCAATTGCCAAAATGTGTTTATTTTGGGGCAGTCTAGCCACATGTGTAGAAATGTGCCATTATCATCACAACCATGCCAACATTTTGAGGAAATTAAAGGATTTCTCTGAAGATGCCAGCCACAGATGCTGGCGAAATGTCAGAAAGAAACTCTTCTACAACATGGCCACATAGTCCGAAAAAACCACAAAAAAATCTGGAGAAAACATTTTTAACTATTATGGCTAGCTTCACTGGAGTCAAGTGCCACCTTGTATACTTTTCAAGGTTTTTTCTCTCATCAGTGCTGATCTGGATTTAAAATGCTTTGTTTTAATTATGTGTTTGAATCATTGTTTTAATGCAAAAATTGTTTAATTCTTTTTTAAGGGGTGGGGGGGCTGTGGGATTTGGATAGTATTTTAATATTGTATGATGTTTTTAAATTGTTGTGAGCCGCCTCAATTGCGTGACAGAGGGGCAGGATATAAATAAAATGTATTATTATTATTATTATTATAAAAGGGGTGGAAGACCAAACTGTAATCCACTTTGAAATGGGAATTGAAAGATTCAAATCCATTTCCCAGGTTACTTCTATGCCATGGGTGTTTTGGTAATTCGTAGATTAAAAGATGTTAATGATCCTTTGGTACTTTGGAGCGGGGAACAAATCGTGCCTCAAATAAGATAAGTGATCTAGGTGGTCTTCCTATTTCCTTTAATTTGTGAGTAAAAGCAATTATCTGATGGAGATGAAACCAACTAGCCTTTAATGGTTCTAAATCTAAAGTAAGCTCGTCAATTGTTTTTGGTCTACCATTAAGAAAAAGGTCTTGGACAAAATATACATCTTGTTGTTCCCATTCCTTGAATTGACTGACTTTGGGGGGTTGCAGACTGCCAGAAATAGTGCAAATTGAGTCCACTTTTAGGGTTAGGGTTAGTGCTAGGGAATCATGGGAACTGTATTTTATTGTGGCACCAGAGCTCTGACAGAGAAGGCTCAATGTCTCAGAAAAAAAAAAAACAATTCCCATGATTCCCTAGCACTAACCCTAACCCTAAAAGTGGACTCAATCTGCACTATTTCTGGCAGTCTGCAACCCCTCTTTATCAGGGGAACAGAAAGATTTGTGGACCAGGAAGGGGAAGATAAGAGAGGGATCTGGTGCTAGAACCTGCTTCCATTTTGACCATATCTTTAGTGACATTTGTAGCCATGGGTTTTTAATGTTTTTAATTACTTGCGGAGTGGGTTTGTTAAAGAACAAAGCAAGATCGATTGGTGGTGGGCCATTCATTTCCATGTTAACCCAGCGTATGCTCTGATCTTTTTTAATCGAATGAGGGATTTGACTATGGAGTTCATCACACAGGGGAAATCCCGTGCGGAAACGGGGCTTTAAATTAAACAAAACCTGCAAAAGCGGGTGTTTTTTCAGACGACATTGCTGTTAAAAGGATGTTAATCCGAACGGAAATTAGACCAAAACTGCTTCTTTTTATTTTTGGAAGATCCTGAAAGTAAA